TAGCTATGTGGGGGCGTGTTAGAACGAGCCGTTTTAGGTAGGCGTGGCTGACTCTTAACTTTTATAAAGAATATCTCTTTGGATTTGAGACTTTAGTCTTTGCAACTTTACAGATCTTCTTTATGCACCAAGAGCTTGTAACACTCCAAAGAGAAAGGAAAAATTGAAATCGCATCATATGACCCCTTTAATATTGCTTGTCTCTGAGTATTCATGTCTTAAGCAGATGGGATTCCCGGACTATTACAAATATTGATATGAAAAATATTGCTTGCAGTATTTCATTCACGATGTGTCTGCCACACTGTAAAAAATAAGTGTAATTTTAACTGTAAAATTTTGTAAAAACGCTACGGAAAAAAACTGTTAATAGGTTAACAGTAAGTTCCCGTACTATATACAGGGAAAAACTGTAAAATATCTAACCAGACATTTCATGTAATTGTACAGTAAAATGCTGTTCATTTTACAGTTTTTAGAAGTAAAAATAACAAATCAATGTATAATTTACAGTCAAAAACTGTAAACTGATATTCCCAGAATTCCCTGCATGACACTCCACATTTGAAAGTATTTTGTTTAAATAATCATGTTTTTTTTTTAAGTTTTTGTTATTAGTTATGTATATTTGGGCTTTATGTTACATCTTCTGTTGTTTAATGAAAGTTTAATGCATTATTTAAGTATCATGTGTGTTACCATGATGGTGTTTTGTGTTTGCATGAATGACTCTGTGCACCTTCTATATATTAGTATATACTTCTGCTTGTGGCGAAGCTACTTGTGATGAGCTTTGATTCTTCATGTGGCTTTCTCTTTTACCACCTGCATTAATATGGTGGTTGTCAGTATGTTAAAGGTACAAAACAGATTTTAATAGCAGTGTGCATTGTTGAATTTACTGATTTACATTCAAATTTTCTTGTTTGTAAATTACAGTTTTTGGCCGTAAATGTGTTTATAGTTTTTCTGTATTTTTTACAAAATTATTCTGGCAACCACAGCTGCCAAAATTATTTTGTAAAAACTACAGAATTTTTTTTACAGTGCACATTACTTCTGCAGATATCCAGGATATCCAGTATCATTGCAACCAAAGCGTCTTAAATTAAAAAAAAAAAACGCTGTGCTGCAGAGGCGCTCTCAAGGGCTCACAGCTGGGCGTTTTCAGCAGAGCGTCAGGCTAAATACGCTTTGGTGGACATAGGGCCTAAAGGTTAATATAGTTGGAATCTGTTTGAATCACAAAATATGGCTAAGGAAGGAGTACAATAAATACAGTTTGCATTTCACTTTGCTTTAGGCAGCAGCAGATCTAGGGCAGATTATTGCTCTGGAATGGATCAGCTATGTGACCTTTGCAGTGAATGGGTCTTCTGTGTGCACAGTCATACAGCTGGAGTCATGCCTTAGATAAGGAGACAAGCACATCTGCTTTTATAAAGAGAGAAAAAAAATCGTTTTTTTTAATAGGAAGAGATACTCTGTACTAAAGAGTTTCCTCCAGTTCAGTTTATCATCCCTGCATTGTTCTTAGTGTTCGGCTGCTGTGTGTGTTTAGGTTGGAGGAGCAGTGCGTGAAGCTACAGGCTACACTGCCACCTACAGGCAGACAATCTCAATTGAAGCTGGAGAGGAAGACGGGGACTGTCTGCACATGAGGCGAGGCTTCCATCACATCATCCAGGGCTTTCCTCACTGTGTTGTCACTGATGGAGTCATCAATTTCTTTCTTGCCAGGACAGATAAAGTGCAGCAGGTGGGCTTTGACCCCCGGCTAGCCCGTGTTGCGCATTTGGGTGAGTTTTCAATGGAGTCCACACACAAAAGTAGGTGTTTCTAGGATTGTGGTGTATTTTGCAGCAAAATTTCACAAAAATTAAACTCCTCAATTAGGTATGCACCAATATTAAATTCTGAGGCAAGATACTGATAAGCTGATAATTATTTTGTGTTGTGCTGATAATTATGTTATGACTGCTGTATTAAAACTATACTATTTTATATAAATATATATATATATATATATATATATATAATGTGCATATATATGCCTTTTGCTTTATTAAAGCAGCAGCAATTGTCATAAGAAATTACAAACACGCTGACACAAAAAGGGACAAAAATTTCCTCATTTCTATATTTTGTTTTACAGAGTTTTTTATCGATGGACTCGGGTCCCTGCATGTTGGGTCATGTGATGATGTCATAGTGAACCACGCCACCAAAATCAAGCTGCCGTGGGTCCAGTCGGAAAGCGACAAAACTTACGCAAAGTTCCGCTACCCTCCTGCTTCATCTGATGCGACACACACCAAAAATGGCCTCTTGTACTTCAAAAACCGCTTCCAGTGTCTAACACACAACTGAACACACCCTGGCTATGCCTTCTTCCCTTTCTCTCATCCCCCCTAAACGAACACTCTCTCCCTGAGTAGCTAAAGGGACCTGTGAAGACACTGGAAGTGTGCTGTGTATGTACTGTATTTGGTCCCATGTGAGTATGGGGGAGTTCAAATAAGCCTATTCTTTTGGAAAGGGTCATAATGTGATCACATGACTGACGGGTGAGATTTTTTTGATACCTGAAGATGTCCTATTTTTGTGTCTCCTTTCTTTAGCTTTATTTTTGTTCACAAGAATTCTTTAGATACAGATCAAACCATTCCATCTACTCACGTGGATGTTGTTTCAAATGCATAAAGGAGACTTTCAAGCTCCTTAATGACAAGGATTTTTTGACAGAATTTTCATTTTTGAGTGAACTAGTCCTTTAATTGATGAGAAAACAGAAGAAGTTTCTTTTGAAACGAAGAGAAGACAGCGGAGGTAAACATTTTGAACCATGACTTTTAGAATTTTTAAGTCCAGTTAAAGGGAGACCATTTCTTTGGGACGTTGACATGGAATGTCACATCAGCTCCCTGCCTGGCATTAATCGTGTGTGTGCTTATGTGTGTCTGTGTGTTTTATTGAGGGTTGTCTCTCTGTATGTTTGCACTAAAACAAATGGACTTCAATTGGAGCGACTCGACCCTCAGCGTCACTAAAAAGAAGGAATGGACTGAACATCATTATCAAGCTAAAACCACAGACAATCCAAAATATCACTTTCATTATCTCTCTCTCCCTCTCACATACACTCTCCGACAGATTTCTCAGCAAAAGATGGAGGGGTGATTCATTGTACATCAGTAAAATCTGTATTTGATATTTTTTTTGTTTTAAAGAGTGACTGTGCCAAAGGCTTAATTACTGTCCTTGTATGACTTGTTTATTGTTTGTACTTTTTTTTTTTAAATTTCCTTTATTCTGGGTTCTTTTTAAGATTGTATCCTATTGTACTGAAGCATGAAGATAGCAGCCAGGTGTAAAGTCCAATGCCGGCTTTTATAAATTTAGTTCACATCACATCATAAGCGTATATTCCAAAGGCGCTTACTTGACAGGTTTTATTTATTTGTTTGATTGTTTGTTTGTTTGAGCTGGATTTCATCCAAAGCAAGATTTGTGGGGAAAAAGGTCAAGTCAGTGGCTTTTGCTATGCAGAATGGCTGAGACAACTAGCCTTACTAAAATAAAAAAAGCAGCATTAATAAACTTTTCAGAGTAAATGGCAGATGTGCAAATAACAAAAAATATGAAATAAAATGGCTATTCAAATGTTAGGCTATATCTACACAGTATCAGTCAAAAATATGAAAACACCTACTGATTCTTTATTCATTCTTATTATTTTCCACAAATTTTATGATGAAAATGTCGAACCTAAAAACAAATCAAAATTAAATGTTATATTCTAGCTTTTTTAAAGTAGCAAACTGCTCAATAATCCATTTTTAAAAAACTAGGTAAACAGACACTATGTATATTTCTCAACAAAAATTAACCTTTAAGATCAATAGGTCATGATAAATGTGTCCAAACCTTGATTTGTACTCTATTTGATAGAAATAAATAATAGTTAAAAAAAATTACCTGTATGCAGCCACCTTCTGTAGAGTAAAAGCATGGAAGAAGCCGATGTAATTGCTGTCTAATCCAATGTATAACATCCTTGTGCATAATTTTAATTACGTTTGTTTGCATATTGTTTGTTTTATGTGTGTGTGTGGGAGATAGATAAGTGTTTTTTAAACTACATCAAGTGGGCTTTACTTTGTCGCTCATGAACAGCATGAGGCCCTAATGACTGTTTGCTGCATTATACATTGAATCACAGATTCTTCAAATAATGTTCAACATTATGGCCTTGTCAAAGATTATACCTATGTGTGTGAGTGTGTGATAGTTTCCCCCTTCCTTTCTGTTACATCCTGTCTAAAAACGGTGCCATACAGGAGTAAATAAGTGCATGACTGTCCAGAAAGCCTTAAAAGAGGTTAAGGAAGTGAAAGAACACAGTGTAAAAAAGAGAGGTACATAATGGATTTTACATAATACATAATTCAGTACATAATGGATTTTAATGAGTGCACAGGTTGAATATAACAAGCAATGGTGTAAAATGGAATTGAAAACTAACTCTTGTGCACTTGCTTTGTATCTTGAATGCCATGTGATGCTCCTCAAAACAGAAAAAAGGTATAAAATCCTTTTAAATTTTTCTTTATCGCTCTCTACCAGTCCTGAAAAAGACAACTGAAGGATGCAGTCCTGCAATACTAAGTATAGAGCTGCTATGATTCTGTTTGAAGAATGCTTCCATTTGTCTGCCCTGCATATTCAGGAGTAAGCATGAGCGCAAGGTCAAAAAGGAGCATGTAAAAGCATTGGTGTAAGGCTACTTGATTCCTACGGTTAGTTTCAGATGAGCTTAAGATGATAGGAGCTTGAGCAGATATGGGAAGCTGAATATCTGATTTTCTGGCTGTGTATTAAATGGCGAGTTTGAATTTTTGATGATATTTAAAGTGTGTTTCTCAAAAACCTCCCTGCTTCCTCTTCACTTTACTGCAATGATGATTCTGTCTCCTCATCTCTGGGTTTCTCACTGTGTCTGCATGACTCCTAATTTCTGTTGGTGTTTTGTATCTCTACCAGCTAATTCTCTGTCCCCCAAAAAGTATGGCTGCCTATTGATCATTTTTTAAAGGGGTCATATGATGCTGCTAAAAAGAACATTATTTTGTGTATTTGGTGTAATGAAATGTGTTTATGCGGTTTAAGGTTAAAAAAACATTATTTTCCACATACTGTACATTATTGTTTCTCCACTATGCCCCGCCTTTCTGAAACGCGTAGATTTTTACAAAGCTCATCGGTCTGAAAAGCGAGGTGTGCTCTGATTGGCCAGCTATCCAGAGCATTGTGATTGGCCGAATACCTCAAGCGTGTGACGGAAATGTTACGCCCCTTTACCATATTGTGATGCCCTGTCTGGCCGGAGCGACGAGACATAAACATTAAAACCCATTATAAACGAGGCATTTGTTGCATCCAGTGGGGACATAATTATGGATTATAATGACTTATACTGTCTTTTTACGCGTTGCGTTGCATCGCAGAACAGCCGGCATTGTAGTCTACTCTACCTGGATCAGGAAACAGTCCTCCATAAAATGCGGAGAAAGGAAAAATTTAAATCGCATCATATGACCCTTTTAAAAGAACAAAATGTAGTATGCAAATGTCCCTTAAATATAAAGGGGGAAAAGGGGAAAAAATGTGTTTTCCTTTTTTGTAAATGTAAGAAAAAAGCATTTGTTGTCGAATGGAATGAGATAAAGGCTTTGGTGATAACATTTTGTGGCATGTCTTCTGTCTTCCTGAAGAGCTGTGTAAATCTATAGACAGAGAAGTCTGGGATAACTTGAGAATCTTTTAATTGACAGCTTTTAATATGAAACTCTTTAGGGTCACTCAGTGAATATAACCTGCTAATGAATACATCTACATTGAAATAAGAAATAGTAACACACATTGGATAGCTTGATATTCTGTCTTTTTACAAAAAGGATCAAGTACACATACCTGATATTTACAGTACCTGACAAGTCAAATGCCTAAATTCAGCCTCTGCATTCAGTAATATAGAATTAGCAGTAGCTACAAATATAATCTTTATGATCATATTCGATCTTTCATGAGTTTTATCTTGTCAGTGACACAAAATTTAGCATATACAGTCCAATACATTACATTTTTGTTATGGTAGCAGAAAATGTAATCTAGTAGGTGTAAAATACTCAAATTGTTAACATTGTCAAAGATTGAAGGTTGTAATAGATTTACAGTCTGTGTGAATTATTATATTGAAATGGCAGTCAGAAGAATAATTCGGTTATAATGGATAATTAAATCAATTCAGTCTTTTATCGGACATAATTAACTCAAAAACGGACTAAGTCTTCCTTTACCTCTTTATAATGTTCTCATGAGGGTAACAGATGGGCCACTGTACGAGTTGAGGGAAGAGAAAGATGAGAAACTGCCTTCACAGGACTGACAGAAAGCTGAAAATTAAAGGAACAGAGTGAAATCATAAGTCTTTAAATGAAATATCAGTTCTCTACAAAAGATGGAACTCTGGACTCTATGTTTTTGGGCTTTTAATGAACAAATTCTGATAAGTGAACTTAACAATTCAGCAAACTCTAACCTTTCAATGAGGCATAGAAGGTTGTGAAGAACTCCAGGAACGCAGACAGGGCAGACCTTGGCGGTCTATGGAGGCAGAGCTAAAAGGTTGCAGGCTAGAGTTCAGTGAGGGTGAAGTTGTCAAGTTCTTTCCCAGGCTGAGAGATTTAATTTCTTTCCTCTGGAATTCAATGGGAGACTGCAGGGCTATGACAGGGGAGATGAAACAGAACAGTGTCCATTAAGAATTCTGCTCTAAGGCAAGGTCACAGAAAGGTCATGGAAGGTATTACGATGATGATACCGTTTAAGAAGTTGCGCTGTGTCTCCAGCACCTGTATGATGTCATTTGCCCAGGTCATTATGATTTCTGGAGATGATGCACGAAGAATGAATCGTTGCATGCTTCCATCAATATTACGAGATGTCAACACCATCCGACATGGGTCATCTGGGCAATGATCCTCAATGCCCAAACAACTAATCTATGAAAGATACAAATGTAGAAATAAACATTTACCCTCATATTTGTTTGGCCTACAATCTCTTACTTTCTCTTCTGCTTCCCACCTTGATGCTGTTTTTATAGATGTATCCTGGCAGGGAAAATCCTTTCTTGCGGTCGATTGGCTCACTGAGGATGACAAGTTGCTCGAAGAGGAACACCCGTCTCTCTTTGGGACGGGAGAGGATGCTGTTCTCATTCTCAATGAATGTGAAGGTGTCCTGCTGCAAGAGTTTTCCTTGTGCTCTAAGCTGACCGTATATGAACCCAATCAATCACGAGTCATTCAAGTGCATTTTTACCCTCAAATATAGGTATAAGAGAGCTAATAAAACTAACCATAAATGGCCTAAATAGATAATTATTTTATAAATAATGAACTCGTGCTGTGCTCATTTTGGATACTGGAACAGTCCAAGGTGAAGTAAACCATTTACATTTCTGCAGTTTATTTGTGTCTCATCTTACCTCAAAACCCTGTAGTCTTCCAACATTCATCATGTCATTACATCGCTTTGGAACAAAACACATCACCTCTACTGCCCTCTGAGATAAGGACACAAAGAGGACAGAATAATAATTCAGTATGTCACCTGAGAATGAGTTTACTCTCTTTTGCTCAGTCTTATAAGCCGGTACAGACTGCACCTACCTCAAGATCTTCTGTTTGTCTGCCTGCTTTAGTGTAGTACTTCAAGAAGTCCTGTAAATAAATGCACATAAACACAGAATATAGGGAGAATATTAAATGAACAGGCATTTTAGCTCAGCTCCTTAAATTATAAAGAAGGACAAGAATATATATGGAAAATGAGGCGATGACTTAAACATTTCTGTGTTTTTTTTAATTTTTTTTACTTAAGATCCAGTTTTATCTATATAACAGTTCAACAAGGCATGATCAATTTTATTTTCTTACAAATCACTATATAGCAACAAAAGCCATCATGATACTTTCATAAATACCTGTTTGTTTCTACTTGGTATCAGCACATACAATGATAAGATTTATAACAATGACTAAAGTTTGAGGATAATCCCTGAAACGCATACACTACCATTTAAAAAATTTGGGGTCAGTGTTTTTCTTTTTTTTTTTTTAAGAAATTAATACTTTTTCAGCAAAGATGTATTAAATTGATCAAAAGTAACAGTAAGGACATAACAATATAATGCTAATTTAATGTAACAAAATATTTATTTGAAATAAATGCTGTTCTTTTTAACTTGCTCATCAGAGACTCATCAGAGAATTCTGAAAAAAAAAAAATGTATCAAAGTTTTTAACACTGATAATAATAAGAAATGTTACTTGAGCACCAAATCAGCATTTTAGAATAATATCTGAAGATCATGTGACACTAAAGACTGGAGTAATGACTGCTGAATTTCAGCTTTGCCATCACAGGAATAAATGAAGTTTTAAAATACATTAAAATAGATACCAGTTATTTTAAATTATTACAATATTTTAACTTTCTGCCTTGGTTAGCATAAGATACTTCTTTCAAAAACTTTACAAATATTATGGACCCCCAAAGTTTCAAACAGTAGTCTATTTGAAGAATTTTAAGCTGATAAACTATTTTTCACATTTTT